AGGAAACAGCTTCTACACAGCTGCCTCCAGTTCAACCAATAAACAGCAGGACCTGCTCCTGATTGCAGGAGAGCAGTGTACTCAGTGTGTGGGTAGCAGAGTTGGGATTGGTGGAAGAGGACTATAAAGGAGGAGAGAGACAACATGCACCAGGGAACATCTATCTGAAGGAACACCTGAGCAGCCCCCGAGAGAGCCGGCCGGCGGTGTGCCGCTCCCCCGCGGAAGTGGGGAAAGTGGCAGGGGGAGCCACCCTTCCACGGAGGTGGAAGAACCAGCAGCAAACCCGGGGAGGGCCGAGCAGACAAAAGAACAGCGCAGGGTCCTGTGTCGTTCCTCCACGAAGACGGGGAGCGACATTATTATGGTCATTTGAGGGGTGAACCAGCAGATGGAAGACCTTTCTCTCTGCCTCTCCCTCTCCCTGTAGCTCTATATCTCAAATAAAAAAAATTCAGTTCACAATTGATCACACTGATAGGCCTAAGAGTCAAAGGGATCACACAAACAAGACTAGTGTCTGCTAATACTAACTGATAGAATCAAAAAGGGAGAGAACGATCCAACATGGGAAGCAGGATGCACAGCAGACTCATAGAATGGCAGATGCCCTAAACAGCACTCTGGCCTCAGAATCAGCCCTTAAGGCATTCAGATCTGGCTGAAGAGCCCATGAGAGTATTTTAGGCATGGGAAGCCAAGACACTCTGGCAAAAACAAAACAAAACAAAACAAAACAAAACAAAACAAAACCAAAAACCAAAACAAAACAAAACCAAAAAACCCTAAATGAAAGATCTCTGTGAGTGAGATCCCAGTAGAAAGAATGGGGCCATCAAAGAAGGAGTACCTTTCTCTGAAGGGAGGAGAGAACATCCGCTTTGACTATGACCTTGTCTGAATAAGATCGAAGTCAGTGAACTCAAGAGGCTTCCATAGCCTTGGCAACTCATGACTAGAGCCTAGGGAGATTACTGACGTCATAAACAAGAGTGTCAAATTGTTAAGTCAACAACAGGAGTCACTGTGTACTTACTCCTCATGTGGGATCTCTGTACTTAATATGTTGTCCAATGTGAAGTAATGCTATAACTAGTACTCAAACAGTATTTTACACTTTGTGTTTCTGTGTGGGTGCAAAGTGATGAAATCTTTACTTAATATATACTAAATCAATCTTCTGTATATAAAGATAATTGAAAATGAATCTTGGTGTGAATGGAATGGGAGAGGGAGCGGGAGATGGGAGGGGTGCGAGTGGGAGGGAAGTTATGGGGGGGAAGCCATTGTAATCCATAAACTGTACTTTGGAAATTTATATTTACTAAATAAAAGTTAAAAAAAGAAAGAAAAAACAGAAGTAGTTTTAACCATATACAAGGCCCATGGAAAATGGCACTGTCAAAACACTTACTGGGGCCAGTAATGTGGCACAGAGGTTAAGCCTCTGCCCAGGACTCCAGCATCCCTTGTCGGAGCACGGGTCTCAGTCTGTAGCTCTGCTTCCCAGTCAGCTTCCTGCTCTTGCGCCTGGGAAAGCAGGGGAAGTCCTTGGAGTCCTGCCATCTTCCTGTGAGACCCAGATGGAGTGCAAGGCTCTTTGTCTTGGCCCATCCCTGGCTGTTGCAGCCATTTTGGGAGTGAAGTAGTGGATGGAAAAAATTCTTTGTCATTCTGTCTTTCAAATAAATAAATAATAAATCTTAATTTTTAAAAATCTAAAAAAAAGATATATTGATTTATTTGAGAGCTAGAGTTAGAGAGAGCTCTTCCATCCTCTGTTCACTTCCCACATGGCCACAATGGTCAGGGCTGAGCCGAGCCATAGGCAGGAGACAGGAGCTTCATCCAGGCCTTCTATGTGGGTGCAGGGGCCCAAACACTTGGGCCATCTTCTGCTGCTTTCTCAGGCCATTAAGAGAGCTGGATTGGAAGTGGTGCAGCCAGGACTCAAACCGGTCCATATGGGATGCTAAAGCTGCAGGTGGTGGCTTTACCCACTGTGCTGCAATACTGACCCTGGATGGGAATTTATATAGTGTGATTTGACTCACCACTTGGGTCACACCAGTTATGGTCTTATAGTTTTTTTTTCTTTTTAGTGGTGCCCACCGATACAGAGTTTATTTAAAAGATGAGACACACCTGCACACGCACACGCACATGAGCATGGCTGGGGATAGAGTGTGCCAGGAAGGGAAAAGAATGGGGAAAGAAGTAGAGAGACAGCCTCAGTCCCTGTCTTGTCCTCGTTAGCCCAGGGGTAGGGGGGAGGAGAAGGAGAGAAGAGAGAGAGAGGTGTTGATACACTGCAGCCCTTTTATTGGCTCTTCATGTCAATTCCGAGTCCTGTTAACCTGTCGTTTTCTTCTTGTGACTCCAGCGGCTGAAACTGGTTCCAGACAATGGGTTGAGTAATGACAGCATTCTAGGCGCTGTCACATTTCCCTTTTTGCTGGCTTTGTGTTCTGTCAGCCTGTGGACAGTTAAGCCACACTGTTTTATTTGCAACGCGCTCTTAAATCACAGGCAGTATTATTTGACTCTTGAAGTGCATCCGTTAGTGGGTTTTTTTTTTGAACCTGTGCATATGTTTAAATGTGAAGAGAGAATTTACGTTTCAACCATAAAGGAACTCTGATTGCCAGTCCTTGTGGTTTTTCATTATCAGCTGGCTAATTCAACAAATGGATCTTGGTTTGAAGCTGCAAGTAGTGACAACAGGGGGAACCCGAACAAAGAGCCCCTGAGATGAGGTCACCTTCCCAGCGACTCCCCCAGTATCAGGACTGACCTGGAGCCCTCCCTGGTGTGCTGCCAGCTCAGTCACTGGCAGCCGGCACCGGGCTCCCAGCGCCCAGCACCGAGCCTGCATGTAGGCAGTAGGCCCACACTGGACACCTGCTCAACCTGGTATTCTTTACGGGTTGCTTCAAGATGCCCAGGGCTGTGTTTCTTAATCTCAGACATTCCTTGCCCAGCATCTGTTTGCTTTAGTCACTGTGTTGTGTGGAGGCTTAGAAGACCGGCTTTCCGTACTTACTAAGTCGGTTTGTCGGCAGCGAGGGGCCGGTGTCACGGCTTCAGCACCGGCTCTCCCTTCCTCCTGCAGTTGCACAACCGTGCTCTCTGACCTGGGCTCACCTCAGCTTCTCTCCAGGTGATGCAACAGATCTCCCACCCAGAATTTAGCTAGGATAATGTTTCTGTGAACCTGGCTTCCAAATCAAATCTGAAGTGCCATTTTTATAAAAATGAGATATGATGAAACTTAGGAGTTAAATAGTAAAACATTATTTGTTCCTATGCTTAGTGAGCTGTAGGAGATAGCTTTCCTAGCCCTGTCTTTCATAATTTTGACCTAGCATCGAAAAGAGGAAATATTTAGTGAGAAAAATTTATTGTAAGATTTAAGGTCTACATTGTTTCCTTTTTGAAAGATTTATTTATTTATTTGAAAGAAGGAGAGACAGAGAAAAAGAGAGGCCTTCCATCCACTGATTCACTCCCCAGTTGGCTGCAACAGCCAGAGCTGTGCTGTTCCAAAGCCAGGAGCCAGGAGCTTCTTCTAGGTTTCCCACGTGGGTGCAGGGGCCCAAGGACTTGAGCCATCTTCCACTGCTTTCCCAGGCCATAGCAGAGAGCTGGATTGGAAGTGGATCAGCCAGGACCTGAACTGGCACTCATATGGGATGCTGGCACTGCAGATGGCAGCTTTACCTGCTACGCCACAGCGCCAGCCCCTACTTTGTTTCTTAAAAAGAGGCTTATTTATTTTTATTTTGTTGAAAGGCAGAGAAAAAGAAAGATACAGATATTGATATTCAGTGTGCTGGTTCAGTCCTGAAATACCCACAACAACCAGGGCTGAGCCATGCTGAGGCCAGGAGACAGGAACGCAGCCTGTGTCTCCCATGTGGGTTGCAGGGACCCAATTACTCAAGCATTAACCTGCTGCCTTGTAGGGTATGCATTAATAGGAAGCTGAAATGTGAAGAAGAGGAGCCGTGACTCGATGAGGCATTCCAGTACATGATATAGGGGCATCAAGTGACATCTTAATCCCTGTCCCAGTCACAGGTCCCCTCCAGGTCTACCATGTTTTAATTACTTTATTTTAATTAATATTTTTTTAGATACAACTTTCCAGGTATGTCAATGAGCATAATAGACAAATATCCAGTGAGGAGCCAGGGTATCCTGCATTCTCTTCTGACTCCCAGTGTTTTCATCTTGCTTGTCATTTGGTGTCTCTTCATTTCTCTTCTTCACCATAAATCAAAGTGTTTCTCTGGTCTAACTCGGACTTTAGTCCTGCTTGCCTTAGTGTTCATCTTACTATATTTTTTACACCCTGGTGTTAGCACTTGTCTTTGTAAAGAACTTGAGGCATCAGGGGAAGACTGTTTGGCCAGCAGCCACACGGAGCACCCTGCCTCCCGCCCTGTGCACCGGAGCCTGTGCATGCTCTGGGCTGGGGGCGTGTGGCAGAGCAGACGCCCTGTTTTTCTCCCTTCTAGTTTTCCTTAAACAGATCTCGTAAGGGAGCTTGGCCCGGCCTTGATCATCTGGCAACACTGGGAATGGGGCTGTGCAAGCCCAAGGAAGTGACGTGGGATTTACGCCACCTTTTTACCATTTTCCTTGAACAGTTTCAGTGTGAACCCAATGCATGTTCGTGAGATAAAAAACAGCAGGGAGCGGGTAGTGTTGTAATTGGTCTTTCCGTGCCAGCGGGTTGAGCCGTCTCTGTATGTGAGATCCTCACGTTAGCCCTGTCTGCTCCAGGATGAAACACGTGGAGGGGTGCTTTTGGAAGTCCTTCATACTTGTTACTCACAGACAGCTGACAGGAGGGGCTGTGGCGGCCGAGCCCATCAGGCAGTCCTGCGGCAGCCACTCCAGGGCCCCCGCACGGCTGGGGGTCGCTGAGAGGAGGCAGAGGTGCCTGTGTCTTGAGTCAGGACGCACGCTGATTTCTGATCTCGCTCCTGTCCCAGGTCAGCTGCTGCGGCTGAAGATGTTCCGGGAGGACCACGGGTCGTGGATGACGATGTTCTTCAGCACGATCCTCTTCCTCTTCATTTTTTCCCACATCTACAACACGATTCTTCTGATGGATGGAAGCATGGGGTAGGTGGCCACCCCCTTCCGCCGCTGCTGTTAGGTTTGAGCTGCGGAAGGGGTGCAGGATTTCTCCCTTCAGTCGTGCAAACCTGCTCAGGACGTTCTAGCCCAAGGAGGGCTGTCTGTGCTTCCCTACATAGCACCTTTGAGGTTCTTTGTCCTAGGGAGCACACAGCATTTTACAGCAATGGGTAAATGTCATTCTTTATTCTTTAGGACTTTCCTGTGGAGTGACTGGTGGGCAGGTGGCACTTCATTGTAGTGCCCGGGAGTAGGAGAGTATGCGATCTTATTGACGCTTACAGTCGCCTGATGGGTATTAGTGTTCCAGCAAGGTGAGGGTGGCTCCAGGACTGCAGTCTGTGCTCTGCAAGGCTAGACTCAGGCAAAGCATCCGATTACAGATTACACACTGGCTTTCTCTCTCGACCAACCGAGAATTTTGTTATAGATGGATCATTTAAAAAGTATCCCATGCTGTATTAATTCTAGGGTTGTGATCCCTGGTTAACACATCTCCATGGCATGCGTGTGTGCTCCCAGGTAGGCTGTGGGATTCTTTTATTCTCTCCAGTTCTTTCGTCCTTATAACCAAATATGAGGATTGTTCATTCATACGATTATCTCTTGGTGTGCTCTCAGTAAGTTCTAAGGGTAGAATTTAAGGAGCATGGCTCAGCCTACAGCATTAAGAATTAGATCCTAGCATCACTAGCCATCAAGGAAATGCAAATCAAAACCACAATGAGGTTTCACCTCACCCCAGTTAGAATGGCTCACATACAGAAATCAACGAACAACAAATGTTGGCGAGGATATGGGGAAAAAGGACACTAATCCACTGCTGGTGAGAATGCAAACTGGTAAAGGCACTATGGAAGTCAGTTTGGAGATTCCTTAGAAACCTGAATATAACCCTACCATATGACCCAGCCATCCCACTCCTTGGAATTTACCCAAAGGAAATTAAATTGGCAAATAAAAGAGCTGTCTGCCCCTTAATGTTTATTGCAGCTCAATTCACAATAGCTAAGACATGGAATCAACCTAAATGCCCATCAACAGTAGACTGGATAAAGAAATTATGGGATATGTACTCTATAGAATACTATGCAGCAGTAAAAAAAATGAAATCCATTCATTTGCAACAAAATGGAGGAATCTGGAACACATCATGCTGAGTGAAATAAGCCAGTCCCAAAGGGACAAATATCATATGTTATCCCTGATCGGTGACAAGTAACTGAGCACATAAAAGGAAACCTGTTGAAGTGAAAGGGACACTATGAGAAACAATGACTTGATCAGCCCTTGTCCTGACTGTCGAGGAACAACTTACTATTTTATTCCTTTTAGTATTTTCTTTTTCTACTTAATATCATTGGTTGAACTCTGTAATTAACACATAATTATTCTTAGGCATTTTAAATTGACTGAAAAGTGATCCCTGATAAATATAAGAGTGGGAATAAGAGAGGGAGGAGATGTTCAGTTCAGCACATGTTCACTTGGACTTACCCCTAATGGTAGAGCTAGAAACGTGCCAGGGGATTCCAATTCAATCCCATCAAGGTGGCATGTACCAATGCCATCTTACTTGTTGAAGTAATCAGTTTAAGTTCATAATTGATCAAAAAGATAGGATTAAATGTCAAAGGAATTACATAAGACCAGTGTCTGCAAATAATAATTGATAGAATTAAAAAGGAGAGAATGATCCTACATGGGAAGCAGGATATGCAGCAGACTCATAGAATGACAAATGCCCTAGACAGCACTCTGGCCTCAGAATCAGCCTTTCAGGCATTCGGATCTGGCTAAAAAGCCCATGAGTGTTTCTCAGGCATGGAAAGCCAAGACACTCTGGCAAAAAAAAAAAAAAAAAAAATCAATCAATCTAAATGAAAGATCTCTGTGAGTGAGGTCCCAGCAGAAAGAACAGGCCATCAAAGAAGGAGGTTCCTTTCTCTGAAGGGAGGAGTGAAATTCCACTTTGAATATGGCCTTGTCCAAATAAGATCGGAGTCGGTGAATTCAAGAGGCTTCCATAGCCTTGGCAGCTCATGACAAGCGCCTCGGGTGATTACTGATGTCATAAATAAGAGTGTCAGTTGTTAAATCAACAATGGGAGTCACTGTGCACCTGCTTCCCATGTAGGACCTCTGTCCTTAATGTGTTATACTATGCAAATTAACAGTAAAACTACTCAAACAGTACTCTATATTTTGTGTGTCTGTGTGGGTGCAGTCTGTTGAAATCTTTACTTAGTATATACTGAGTTGATCTTCTGTATATAAAGATAATTGAAAATGAATCTTGATGAAGAATGGGTTGGGAGAGGGAGTGGGAGATGGGATGGTTGCAGGTGGGAGGGAGGTTATGGGGGGAAAAGCTGCTATAATGCAAAGTTGTACTTTGGAAATTTATATTTATTAAATAAAAGTTGAAAAAAAGAAGACTTAGATCCTAGTAAAAAATAAGGCTGGGAATAGGAGAGGGAGGAGGAAGAGGGGTGGGAGTGTGGGTGGGAAGAATGGCTGTATTCCAGAGTTGTACTTATGGAATGCATGAAGTTTGTGTTCCTTAAATAAAAGATTTCTTTGAGCAAAAAGAAAATTATCCTAGTGATCATGGCAAACTACCTTAGATGCTTGCTGTGTGCCAAAGTCGTGACTGAGGGAGGTTTGCTGTCTCTTCTGGAAATCCAGGCAGTGTTGCTGCCTCCTGAGCGAGGGCCGGGCAGGGTCGTCGTGCAGCCGCATCAGCTGCAGCCGTGTGGATGTTCGTCGAGCCTTTGGCCACCACCACTCAGTGCAGGAGGAAGACAGTTTCTCCCAGCACTGAAGGCATGAACTGCAGAGGTAAAGCCGAGACTGCCCAAGGTTTTCTGCCTCAGCCCAGGCTAACAAGTGGTCCGTTCAGGGATGTGGTGTTAGACCGAATGTTCAGGCTTTAGAAAGTTGCTAAAATGCTGTGCCTGCAGTTATTCCGTGGACTTGGCGTGACGACACTCATGTGGAGTCTGTTTTTCCATGTTGGGGTGCAGACTCTGAGCCGCGTGATGGAGCACACACCTCAGCGCCTGTCCTGGAGATGTGGTGGTGGTGGGAATTGTCCGACACAAGCAGGTGTCTCTCTGGGAAATACAGGGACTGTGAGAAAAGGGCATGTTTAAAAACTGGAGATAGTGAGTTCTGTCATCTATGAGAAATACCCTCTACTCAGGAGCTGACCTGTCTTAATTCTACTTGTTTTTATGTTGTGAATGTAGTCTGTTAGCCAGAAATGTTTATTCTGAGGAAGAAAGCAGATCAAAAAGCTATCAATTAAACACAATAATAAATAATCCCTGTACCCCACAAGTCAGTCAATAGATGATAAAAAAATCTTAATGAGTCCTAGCAGCTGTCATGAAGAATCTCGGGGAAGTCTCACAGCGAACCTGGGCCATGGGTGCTTCTATCTCCATCTTCCAGATGAAGAAATGGAGGCCCAGAGAGGGTTTGCCCCAGCCCAAGGTGACAGCTGATGGAATCTCCATTTTTACCCCCAGTAGAGGGGGCGTCGGACCGCTCGGTGGTGAGTTCTGGTGATGCGGCTACGGCACTGCTAGCGTAGATCTGAGTGAGGGCTGGTGCTGGTACTCGTTCACCAAAACCCACGTATGCCCTTTGCTCATTCAAGCTGAATTTTAAAATTGAAGTAAGCAGCAGGTATGTCCAGGAAATAAGAGCAGTTTAGAATGTATGGTAATATCATAACTAAAATCGAGACTGGTTCTCTTTATGCTCAGACTAAGTACAGCATCACTTAGCTGCTGCTTTTTTATTTTAAGGTTTATTTATTTATTTATTTGAAAGACATAGAAGGGGGTGGGGAGAGAGAGAGAGAATCTTTTATCTGCTGATTCACAGCTGCAATGGTCAGGCCTGGGCCAGACAAAAGCCAGGGCCCAGAAACTTCATCCAGGTCTCCCATGTGGATACAGAGACCTGAGCACTTGGGCCCTTGTCGCTCCCCCTCTTCATGGAGGAACGACACAGGACCCTGCGCTGTTCTTTCGTCTGCTCGGCCCTCCCCGGGTTTGCTGCTGGTTCTTCCCGGGTTGGCTACTATCCCTTCCACCTCCGTGAAGGGCGGTTCCCCCTGCCACATTTCCCCACTTC